GTATGGGATAGGGTGACTGTTTAGAATTACTGGGAGCCCCAGGCACAGTGGAGGCCACATGGCGCTCACCCCCGAGGTTTTTTCCATTCCCTCCCCACCCCCCACTTGGTGCTCACCAGTAATAGTGGAGACTGGGCAGGACCCCAGAGAAAGCGGCCCCTTTCTTTGATACACTAACATGCGAAGCCACTCCCTTTCTCAACCCATCTCCCGTATAAAACGCAAGCCTCAGGCCACGGGCGGGGAGGGGCAGGGACTAGCCCCATCTCAAGGCCCACAGAAAACCCACTGCTTCCCCGGATTCTGGGGAAGAGAACAAGCCATCTTCCATCTTGAAACTTAAAAAAGAAGAGCAAATTAAACCCAAAGTACACAGGAAGGAGATAACCAAGATAAGAGCAGGAAACAAAACAGAAACATGGAGTAAATCAATGAAACCAGAAAGGTATTTTACAAAGATCAATAAAATTGACAAACCTCTACTTGGAATGATCAAACAAAAATAAAAACCCTGGGGAGCATACAAACTACGGCCACCATGCAATGAAACAGGAAATCCCTCGAGATCCCACAGACTTCAAAAGGATAATAAAGGAATATTATGAAGAACCTTTGCAAACAAGTTTTCTAACTAATAAAACGGACAAATTCCTCGAAAGACACACACTACCAAAGTCCACCAAAAAAACAACAAATGGCTGATTAGTCCTATCAGTCCACTAAAGAAACTGAACTCGCTATTCAACACCTTATTATCATGAAGAAAACTCCAGGCCCAATGGTTTCACTTGTATTTTCTATCAAGCAATTAAGGAAGAAATAATCCAATCTTACACAAATTCTTTCAGAAAATACAGGGAAACAGCTGTCAACCTGTCTTATGAGGTAAGCACAACCCCATTAACAAAGACATTGCAGAAAAGATCATTCCTGACCAATACCCCTACTGATAATAAACCCAGAAGATACTGAAAATCATTAGCAAATCAAATGGAACATTTACAAAAAGGATGATACTCAGTTACCAAACTGTGTTTATCTCAAGTGTGCAGGCTTGGCGGATCCTTTGAAAATTAATCAGTTTAATCCACCATGTAACAGAATAAAAGAGAAAACAATATGCTTGTTTAAAGCGATGCAGAAAAAAACAGTAACAAAATTCAGCATCCATGTGATTTATTTTAAAAACTCCCACAAATGAGGGATAGATGGAAGTTTCACGAATCTGTAGAAGGACCTGGATGAGAAAACCTTCCACTTAGCATCACACCCTATGGTGACGTATCAACCACATTTCCCAAAGATTGGCCACGATGCCAGGCTGCCCACTCGTGTGACTTGTGTGTGACATTGTACCGGAAACCCTAGACAGCGCGAAAAGGCAGGGGAGAGAAATAAAAGGCACATGGAAGGGAAAGACAGGTGTAAACTTTCTTTATTCACAGACAATATGATCATGTGTGTAGCAAATCCAAAAAAAACCTGGAAAAGACGTACCAGAACTAATAAATGAATATAGCAAAGTCACAGCATAAAAGCAAACATAAATGTTAGTTTGGGTTTTATACATTCACAACGAACAACTACAAAACGAGAATTTTTAAAATTCCATTTACAGAAGCATCAGGAATCATAAACTTCCAAGGAATGAATACATTCACATAAGATGGGTAAGGCCACTGACTGAAAACTACAAAACTGCTGAGAAAAATGAAAAAGGTCCTAAATAAAGTGAGAGCTAAACCACATTCATATGTTGGAAGACCCAGTGGTATTAAAATGTCAGTTCTCCCTCCCTTTAATCTGTAGATTTAATTTCTTCCCAGTCATAGTCCCAGCAGGCTTTTTTAATAGAAATTGATAAAATGAGTCTAAAATTTATGTGGAATTGCAAAGGACCTAAAATGTATCTGTGACAATAGAAATGTTCCATGGAGCATTTCAAACGTGGTTATTGTACCCGAGGAACTAAATCTTTAGTGTTACTTAATTTTAATCAATTTAAATAGCCACATGAGTCCAGTGACTTACTGTAGTGAGTAGCACAGACTTGGAGCTCCAAAGCAGTCTTGAAAAGGAAGAACGTAATTGCAGAACTGACACCCTGTGAGTTCAGCTTACTGCAACAAGTGATGGTGGTCGACAGCGTGGCACTGGCGTGGGGACACATATGGACACATGGAACAGTCAGGAGTCCAGAAGACTAGCAAAGACCAATTCTATTTGGGCACCTAACTTAGACAAAGTTACCACAGCAATTCAGGAAAGCAAAAGAGGAAGGCTTTCCATAAGTGGTTCTAAAACAATTGGTATCCAGGTGGGGGGAAAAAAACACATTTCAACCCCACCTCATACCGTCCACAAAATATTTGAGATGAATCAGAGACCTTGATGTAAAAGCTAAATCTATCATTTTTTAGAGGAAATTATAGAATATCTTCATGTCTTGGGGACCAACAAAAGATTTTAAGACTGGGGAAGGGCACTCAGGAGATTTCTGGGTGGTGGTGTTTGTATCGGGATATAGAGGCTTGGGCTACAGTGGTGTGTGTCATTTTCCAACGTCACCAAATAGTACACTTAAGACTGATGGTTTCACTCTATGTAAGTCAGTCGTCCCCCGTCCCCCCCAATAAGAACAGAACTGTGAACACCCCAAGTCTAATGATGTGGACACTTCAGTGCTTAGGAGCGAGCCTTCACTGACCACCATCTACCCTCCTTCATGTGACGCACGCTGGTCTTACTGTTCTTCTTCCCCCGAAAGGATGAGTGCCCTGTGAGGGCAAAGTCTGTCTTGCCATCACACCTTCAGCTTCAAGAACAGTGCCTGGCATACAGCAGGTGAGCAGTCGTGGCTGGCCTGTAGGACGTGGACCTGAGACTCACAGTGAGTGTCTCTTGTGCTGTCCTTCTGGTCAACCCCTGAACATTCCCCAAGCAGCATCTCTGCCAGGCCCCGGGCTAGGTGCTGGGGACATCAGCTTTGCCATCAAGGAGCACAGAGTCTGGTGAGAGAAACGTAAGCTCCAGAGCGGAAGGTGGTGCCTTTCGATAGGTGGAAGCCTGGGCTAGGTGTGGGATGTAGGAGCTCAACCAAGACCCCTAACCCCGCCTAGTTGTTCCTGGGAGGTTCCTAAGAGGAGGAATGTTTGGTCTTCGTCTTAACACAGGACTGAGAGCACAGGGAGCGGGGCAGGAACAGCGAAGAGGGTGGTGGTGGTGGGAACAGACAGGCTGACTGAGTTGTTTGGGAGAAGCACCGGGAGGTGATGGAACAGGTGCAATGAAGGAGGTAAAGAAGGGATGACACCCGGGTTCCTGGCCTGGGGACAATATGGACAGAGCCCACCACTCACTGAGTGGAGATTCCTCAGAGAGTCTTCAGGGCCATGGGACAGAATTCCACCCAGTTGGGTACGTGGGAGCTCACTGAGAATGGAGCCCTGGTCCGGCCAAGGCTCCTGGTCTCTAGCCTCAAAGTGGACCACACACTAGGGTTGGCTGGGGGATCACAGCTCCGTCCCTCCACCCTCAGGCGGACGGGGTGGCCAGGCCCCTGTAAACCCCTTGGGACCAGCTATCCGGGACCAGCCAGTAGGCACTCTGTGCATTCCAGACTTTCCAACAGGCTAGCCAGTTGGGGCCGATTTTTACCCCCATTCCCAAACCAGCCACATTAGTGGGAACCCCAGGGGCAAGGTCATCTGCTGGTGGGAAGAAGGGGCCACCCCATCCTGCAGGGTTCCCCCTGCACACAACTCACCAAAGCGACGGTGCCTTTCCAGCCCTACACCTGGTACCGAGATTTTGGGAAAATCTTAGAATTCATTTTTTAAGTTCATCTGGTGAGAACAGCAAAGAAAACCCGAAGGGGGAACCCTACTACATATGAAAACAATTTATAAAACTGCAATCACTTTTAAAAGGGACATACTGGGAAAAATAAATGGATCGATATTAAAGCCGGCCCTGTAATAAGTAGTAAGATTTTCAAATGTGATGAAGGAAACCACACACATCAAATAGGGAGAGAAAGAATTCAATAGATGCGCTCAGGACAGTTATTTAGGAAAAAGTCGGTTTAGAGCCTCACCTCATGCTGCATGCCAAATCAATTCCAGAAATAAAGGTTTATGAATTCTAGAGGGAAGAAAAGACCTTAACTTTAAAGCAATGAAAGAAACCACACAGGACCAGAAGGAGGTGTTTGCAGGGCTGCCCGTTCTCGTCTCTTAGACCAGCAATTCCCATAGCGGGCAGGCCCTGCCTGGGGTCTAGCAGGGAAAATGATTTTCACAATAACCCTGAAACACCCTGAGCCTTTCCACTCTATCTCACGAGTGAGCTCATGAGTGTTCGGTGGAATGTTTCAAAGGCTACATGACGTGTGATTTTGCAAAAAATTAAGCACAGAGGCAGGTCTGAGACTGTCTCCTATTAAGCCAGACATTAAAGTTGCAAAAATCTAAAACAATGCCACTCTTCTCAATTTTTTATTTTGGAAAAGAGTTTTCATTAAAATATGCTATTTCTGTTGACAAGTTTATTTTCAAAATATTTTAAAATTCTCCATTTTAATTTACATGGTAAATATTGATAAAAACCTATATAAGCAAAAACTACATAAGCTCTTTTAATGATTTTTAACTGTGCAAAAGGGACTCGGAGACCAAAAGGCCGGAGCGCTGCTTTTGGTCCGTATGCATTTGGCAGGGGCTGTTTTGCCCATCCAGGGATCCCTAACACCCAGCATATCCATTTGCGCACCAATTTGACAAACGTTCGCCAAGTACGTGCTATGTGCCCAGGTGGGCATTGTCACAGGTGCAATGATATAGCCGTGAACAAAAGGGACAAAATCCCCCTGCCTGTCTAGGTCAGTCTGCTCGGCAGAGTGCCTAATGAGGGAATGGATTGGCTATAAAGAAACCTAAATTTCAGGGAACACAAACACACAAAAGTAAAAAACTAGAAACATGCCACACACATGACACACACTAGGTTAATATCTTTAATATATAACGAGCTCCAATTTATCAGATCCCAGTAGATAAGAGCAAAAGACACTGACAATCCACAAAAGAGGAAATACAGCTGCTTGACATGAAAAGATGTTAGACTTCGCTAGAAATCAAAGAAATGCAAACTAAAACACAATGCCATTTTTTCATTATCAAATTAGCAAATAGTTAGCCAGATGATAATACTCAGTGCTGGCAAGATGGCAAAACGGGCGCATTAATCCTTGCTGGTGGCAGTGTAAATGGATACATTTCTGGAAACCATTTTGTCAATACACAAAAAGCCTCAACGGTTTTCATATTCTTTAATTCAATAAGCCCGCCTCTGGGAATCTACCCTAAGGAAAAACCGGGACACTGGGAAAAGCTTTATGCACAAAGATATGCATCAATTTCTAACAGTGAAAAATCAGTAACAGCAGTGATCAGCGATGGGCACTGCTGTCCATCTACTTGATGGAGCACATGGCCATTTCAGAATAAAATGAGTAATAAAATGGGGGTGGAGTGGGGTGGGGGCGTGGAAGGCAAAACACCAAAATGTTACATTTTACTTTTCTCTTTCCTCTATTTTCCAAAATTTCTATAACCTGTAGTTTTGCTGAAAAGACCTATAAGTTGTTACTTGTTTATGGAAAGGAGTTAGAGATATCCAAGTCAGGAGTTGGGGCTCCTCCCGTCTCTACGTCATCTGTGCTGTGCCAGCTGCCACACCAGATGTTAGGACCCTGAGATGATGCAGAAGATGGCATCTCCGGTCAGTGGATGATGGACCTCCCTGAACCCCAATCTTCTCCCCGACTGGCGAGCCCAACAGTCTGCTCTGTGCTTCCTTCCCCGGAGCCCCACCTTTTGTCATCATCTCTAGGGAGTCACCCTTTATTCCGAGTCCCATCTCAAACGATGCCCTGTTATGCAGCTAACTTACCAGATGGGTATCATGTAGACCAGACAGCAGTCACAATATCGTCCAATGTCAACACCATGAAAAACGTAACTGTCCCTCACATGCATTAATGCTACTAACTGCCTGTCCCTCAATACCTGTTCCCTTAAACTTAGAGAAATGATAACTGCGAAGTATGTACAGAGCAGCTCCTGTCCCCCACGTCCTTCTCCATCTTGACCCTCCCAGTCACTGCGGCCTTGATCTGGGCCGCACGGAGCTTGGGTCCCTTCCTCTTTAGCTGGGGCCTGGGGGTCTGCCACTACAGCCACTGGCCCCCAGTGTGGAGCGTCTTCCGAGTCCAGTGTGGGGGAAACCCCCTGAGCCTCTCTCGTCTGCCTGTTTCCAAAGTTGCAGGAAGCGGTCAAGGTCACAGATAGACATCAGCACCAATCCCAAGCCTACACACGTCAGCGCCAAGACGAAACGCAACCAAATCACCAAGCGAAATGAAGCCGGAGCAGCAGCCTGGCCTGGGCACGCCAACCACACACAACGGGCCAGGTCACGGTGTGGACAGGCAGCAAGGCCAGCCGGGGTCTACGGGCCTCGCCCTGGCTGGCACGGGAGCAGCACTGAAGCTCAGCACCTAATGCAGACGAAGCGTTTCTAAACTGCACTTGGGTAGACCCAGGGGCCGCTGAGATCCCAGACTTCCCGCCCTGCTCCCATGCTGGGTCACCTACCCCGCTGGGCTAAACCACATGGACATCTTCAAGGTGTCTATTACCACTGCAGGCTTGCTTTGCCTCAGGTTCCATTGTACCCCGTCATCTGTGGCCACCTCTACCTGACAGGCAGATGAGAGAAAACTGAGCACAAAGAAAACGCGATCTGCACACCCCCATCAGAGGTCCCACCCCCAGAACGGTGGCTCCACTCTGTCCTTCCCCCTTCATGCTTAATGAGCACCATGGTCCCGCCTGAACAGCCTTGGCTGGCATCCAGGGGGCCTGAGCCTGTATTCAGGCAGTTGTTCAGCAGGGCAACTGGGCTAACAGAGTTTACAATTAGTGGGTGGCAGTGATCCACAGACACCAGCAACCACTGATATCCTTGACCTTGCCAAGGCCCTGGTTGCTTCAGGAACGCAGTCACTTTTCCCAGCATCATCAGAACTCTTAGGAAGTAAGTATGGACCCTAGGGCCCAACCTCTGGGTATCCCAAGACATATGCCTTTGGGTGGGTACAGAGGCAGTCCCACGGTGAAGCCGGGACCATTAGAACAAGGCAGAGGAACCCAGGGGAAGATACCTCACCTCCCCCCATTGTCTAGGTGGTCACGTAAATGCAATCCATTTGGCAATGAAATATGGAGGGAGCGTCACCAGCCAAAGGGCTCACCAATGTCTCACTTAGAAAGAGATTTCTGGGCATCCCCTGTGAAGAAGGACAAGGCTGTCCACCACTAAGAGGTCTAGCTTTGTCCCTCAGGATTAGGACACGAGTGCCAGGTCTGCCCTGTCACATCGGGACGCAGGTAATCTGCAGTTCTCTTCCTTTACAAAAGCCACCAGGGCCCTGGTTTCCAGAGGCCAGTACGCCCTTGCCTTCGCTGCTTAAGGAGACATCCCAGAGGAACCGGGTCTCCAGCTGAGTCCATGTTTTCTTGGGCAAAGGTTGGGCAGCTGATGGACAGCCGAGGCACAGGGACGGCATCCTACAGGGAGGTTCCAGAGACCCAGAGATGCTGTGAATGGCTGAGGGGCTGAGGTGAAGGCCACATGTCCCATGAACGGAGAAGGGAACAAGTCTCAAGCTAGACAAGGCCCACTACCCAGTGACATGGGACAAAGAGGAGGGGTGACTACACACTAGCAGCTAGGGGCGATTCCCACTGGAGGTCCAGGGCAGCAAAATGAGCCGCGAGTGTCCACCCTTCAGCCTGCAGTGGCGCTCAGGCACGGAAGTGCACGAATGTGCTGCCTGTGGCAGCCTGATGGAACTGCCCAGTGGCCCCAAGTCACAATGACCTCCTTTAGCAGCCAAGTTCCAGAGTCCCAAAACTCCTGGTGCCATCAGACCACTGGCAGCTAAAGGCAGGCATTCATGGAGGTGCTTCTCCCTTTACCTGCATGTTCAGTCTTTCCGGGCCAACATGGGCATACTGACTGCGTGCTCATGTGCAGAGTGAAGCGGAGCCCCAGAAATGCTGAACTACACTCCAAGCAGTGATCACCTGGCCACCGACAGCAGGGACAAGGCCCCTGCCTGCTACACTGGGCACTGCAGGGCTGGAGACCACCTCTCCAGGTCCCCACATCAAGGCACCAGCCTGGCCAAAGTGGCTTCTCTCTGTCATCAGTGAGAACAGGGCACCCAGGTGGGGAGCTGCCGTGGGGTCTGAAGAGGGTGGACTAGGAGAGTCTGTGAACCGAGTCAGGCTTGGAGAGGTCAGCCCACATGGTGCGGAGCGTGCTGTGGAGTCGGTGTGACCGAGCAGCAGAGCTGTGGTCACCGGAAGAGCGGGGGTTGCAAGCAAGGGAGGGGACGCATGCGCTGAGGCGTGGGCACAAACCTAGCACGTCACACTAGGCAGCGAGGCGGGTAACGGGGCACCCAAGAGGATGCAGGTCTTCTGGAACAGGTCTGGAGAGGCAGGAAGGGCGTCGTCAAACAAGAACGATGCTGTTGTAGGGACACTTCTTCTACGCAGCCAAGGGGTTATGCTACCTGGTAGCTGCAGGTGCAACCAGGGCGGTGGCCGGTTCTCAAAGGTTCCGGGCTCGGGTGGGCAGGGCGGGCGCTGGACTAGTCCCGCTGGAGGCTGGGTGCACAGGGCAGGGCCCCGTACCCGTGGCGGCCAGTTGGCGGCACAGCATCTGCCGCTCCCGCACAGCCCGATTGGAGGCAGAAGTCTTCCTGATTTGGGCGCGCCGCGCGTGCCGGAGCGGAGACTTGTAGGTTCTCCGCAACTCTGCCAGGAACCCCTGATAGTTGTTTCGCAAGGGGCTGTCAGGTTGCATGTGGGGGATCGCCCACTTCTCTGCCTCCCCAGTCAGCCGGGACACGAGGAACGCCACTCGCTCGGCCTCCCCAGGAAAGCGGGAGGCCTGGAAGATCATAAACCTGTCCATCTGCATCAAGAACCCTGCTAGCTGGCCCGGGTCTCCCGAAAAAGGCTCAGGCAGAGAGGTTGGGGGTGTGGTCATCGGTCGGGTCCCATTCGAGGTGATGGCCGAGATGGGCGGGGTGATCTGCAGCGCGCCTGGAATCCGAGCCCTGGTGCGCAACAGGGTCAGCTCTGCCATCACGCTCTCCAGCATGTTGGTGAGATTGGCCTTCTCGGCCCGAAGGGT